TCTGCCTCCCATTCTACTTTTAAATACTCTAGGAACAACAAGTAGGCCTGCAGAGCGAGAGCGAAGTGCTCTAATAGGGTGATATGGTACTACAAGGTCATTAAGATAAGATGGGGCCTGATTATTTAAGACCTTGTATGTGAGGAGCAGGATTTTGAATTCTGGATTTAACAGGAAGCCAAAACATCTCTCTTTCTAGTCCCTGTCAGGACTCTTGCTGCAGCATTTTGGATTAGCTGAAGGCTTTTCAGTGAGTTTTTTGGACATCCAACTTGAATGAATGTTGGATGAATGAATACCTTATAAGGTAGCAACTCATATCATCACTCAACTAAATTTAATCTTGACTAAGTACAACATATCCATGTGACTGCTGAAGAGCTCAGGAGCATAAAAGATGGCAAAAAATATCTTCTACCACAGGCTCTAACACTTGGAAGCATTCTCCACAAGGGCCAGAGCTGTTTTAAGACCTGTACAATATTTAGGAGGTACTTATCTTAACTGGCTTGCCAACAAAATGTCTTTTCTATGTCAATGAATTTGATATGTTGTCTTTGTGTCTGTTTATTCTTCTGCCTGTCTCAGTTTCTGCTTGCTAACAGAACTGTCATTTTAAGGAAAATGCTTTGAATATGTTGTTAGTTTTGATCAGATATGTTTCCTTAAATTATCTAATTTATTATTATTATTTATTTATTATTATTATTATTATTTACAAAATATTGGATTCAATGTAGAAGGTGTAAAAATGAAGAAAACACTTGCTAATTAACCACTAATTAACTTGCGGTTGCCATCAAAATGCCTGTTGACAGATCAGAAAGCATTACTACAGTATAGCATATTTATTCATATTTTTTAATATTGTGAATTCTTGACCCTGATGTGCTATGAATCCCCCAAAATATTTAACATACTTAAAGCAACTTTTTTGTTATTGTTTTTTTTTTTAAATTTTGCTACCTTATGCTGATTACACATGTTAACTTCAGTACTGTTTTAAATGAAGAACGTTTTAATTTTTATGTTGTGTTATTATTTTTAAACACAAGGCCTGACCATTTCTGTCAAGCCAGTGAACTTGCATAAGTGGTTGAAAGACTGAATACAGTAGATCCCTCGCCATGTCCCATGACAACGTCTATTAAGCATTTTTATTCATCTTTTCATGCCTAAAGATGACTAAAAATGCTTAAGAAGAAAATTAAGGTTGTCATAATTCATGCATGACAGGGTTAACTGAGTTAGAAGTTAGCAGGGAGTTAGCTCGCTAGCTTCCAGCTAAAGGGATTTATGAAACAAATTCAAACGTACAGCTCTGCTATCACTTCCAACATAAATGAAGACAGGAAAGTAAACAGCAGTGACGTTTGTAGGGTTACTGAAGTTGGACTAGCTGGTATATAATGATGTGCTATGTGACCGCTAGCGCGACAAAGCCATGTTAGCATAACATAAACAGTAAAGCTGGAGGACGAACGCTAATGAACGGAGGACTTTTTTCAATTCTATAAAAGTTAATATGAGGGTTCCCAATGGTTAGGGGCAAATGTAATCGCATGGCAGGATGCTGTAAACAGACCAAACATCAGTCAGGAGTAGGGTTGCCAACTCCCTGAAAAATAAATAAGGGACACCTCGTGGCCAGGGCCGGGCGACCCAGTTGTCTTCACCCTTCCCAGTTTGGTGAATTTTCTAGCTCTTTTTTTGTGTGTGAAATTATTTTTTTAACCATTTGACTTGAAGTTGATTTAAGTAGATGCATATTCTATTCTTTGTGATATGAACACATGTGAAACAAATGATCATTTAGCCATTTATTTTTAGCTCAAAATGACAACATTAACACAGTAAAACAGGTCTCTTTCTTAAACAGAAGCCTGTCATGCTTAACTTTTGAGAATATAAGTAAATCTTTCTTTAAAAGAACTCTGTCCTGCTTAACTTAAAATAATAGAAAACAATAGAAAGAAAAATATTCTTGTAACTGTGCACATTTAGTGCATTTAGTACAATTGGCTTCAGTTGAGGTATTATTTCAGCTTTTCTAATGCTAATCAGCTGCTCCTGTTTGTAAACCCACTTGTTCCCATGATTATGCATCATAACTCATCATCATTATTCATCTATGTATTACTTTTATGTATTAGTCATCTATTTGTTGTAATCATCTATCCTTGCAGTTGTTTATTACACAAAATAAATTATATTATCACACTTCTGGCCACATAGCGCTGATATTCACTGCACATGCCCATATTAACTTTTTCCAGCCAGGTGTTTTCCTTTTCCCATTCTTCCCTTTCTCTGAGGGGAACAAACATTGCTGCTCTAATGCTGGGCTCACACCGTGCGGTTTTAGGCCCATTTTGAGCCGATTTTTGACCGATTTTGGCCTTCATCGTGCATCGTGTAGTATACGTGGGGTAAAGAGAAGTGATTAACACCTCACGACCAGCTCCCGATCATCAATCGCTCGTGAGGGTCTCACCACAGGCGCTCACACTGCTCACGCGCAAACACGTAAACGTCGGTGAAAAAGATGGAGCAGCACGGCTGTGCAGCGTGCGATCTGGACACAAGCGATGGAGGCACAACTTGTAGAACTTTGGAAAGCTCATCCAAGCCTTTTCGATGTGGCATCACAAAATTATCACGACCACAACAACCGTGAAAATAGTTGGATTTACATGCTACTCAATCACAGCTGCCTGATCAATGTTTTTCATTAGCAATTTAGCAAAGTTGATGGTGGTGGTGTGTCTGTGTGAGTGAAAGACAGAGAGAGAGCGCGACAGATTTTCTGTTATAACCTTCATTTTATGGAGGCACAGTGTGAGCACTCAGGTCGCATCAGAGCATCGGTGAGAGTGTGAGACCTGCATCGTGACCTACCAACTTCTAACCTCTGCGAGTCAATCGTGCAGTTTGAGCAGGAGCTGAATAACGTGACTGAAAAAATCGCACAGTGTTTGCCCAGCTTTAGGTGTACTGTCGTCCGAGACTTGCACCGCAGTGTCGGCGTTTGTTTCCCTGTTGGCCATGCTTCTTGTTGTGGTCATCTGTTGTCTTCCGGTATTTTCTCCGCAAGCGACCTTTCCTCGACCAATGAGATGAGCGGTAATCTGAATTGTCATACTCGAATTGTCATAAGTGTGCTGTCAGCTCATTGGTCACAAAGCAGGAGAGGGGCTGGGAATTATGTTTTCAAACAAAGTGTTAATTCCATTAAAAGTTATAGACTACTTTTGATTCTCACTGTATTACGGGACAAAGTGCGTCCCTTATTAGCTCAATACGGGACGTGTTCTTTTGTTTCGAAATACGGGACGATTCCGTATTTTAAGGGACGGTTGGCAACCCTAGTCAGGAGAACCACCGAGATAATCCATCCACGATACAAGGTTAGTCACACTGCGGCATGGGCTGGGCTGTAGGTACATCGTAAGGGTTTAAAAACTGAGCTTTAAAGTGATTAGCAGTAATAAAAGCCGAGAGAAGCCGACAGTGATCACTGACTGTTTTTAGGGGCTTGTTGAGATTAAATGGAACAAGATACCAAGCATTAAAACATGTTAAAAACACAACAGTCTTATTAAATGCAGACTGGGCCCGGAAGCAGGATTCATAATCTTATCACTTAAAGACCGGACACCGGTCATGGAGGCTAACAAGTGCTGCCCAAAGAACATCTGGATTAAGCCATACGGCTTCAAAGTTTTGGTGCTTTACAACAAACGCTCTCAGTCGCTGTTGCCATTGTCAAGCATTAGCCGCATAGACACCAGTAGTTTTCCGTCACTCTCTCGTCCTCGTGTGACAGATTGTTTTCATCTTCAACTAAACTAAGTGCTGGTTGACTATTTGCAACGATGCAACTGTATGACGTCACTACCCAGAGTGCATCTTTGCTTTTAACTTAGCGTATAACAGGTATTTGTAGAAATTTAGGTCATATACAATCATAGACTGTACCTTTCCCTTCCATACTGCAGCTCCTCTTGGTTCAGGTCTTGAATCTGTGTGGGGTTAACACAGAAAAAGAGGAAGAATCTGATGAAACTTAAGAGTTCCTCATTTAAAGTTAGTTCTTTATTCATACAGTACTGCATGTAGTTACACATTTGTCCCTATTTACAACAAGCAAATATTTAACCATACAGAAAGAAGTTATGTTCTTTACCTCTTACAAGATTTAGTGTGTTTGGTGCTGAACAGGCCATGTTTTAGAACACAAAACAGCTTCGTGCTGTAGCCAAAATCCTGTTGTGAACATGACGGGTGAACCACAGTTGGGGACAGAATAGCGAATGAACTGAAACTCGATATGTGACTGTTAAACTGAGCAGAATTACAGATTTAAATGATAACTCCATTCAGTGTCACCGTAATGTCACAGTTTTCCCCCCAATGCAGTTACTTATATATAGTTTTTATAAATGTCAACTAATCATGATTCATAATTGAAAGAGGTAATATTTTGAGCTCAAATAATGGTTTTCTTAGTACCTTCTTCAGAATGAGCACTACAACTTCATTTTATGAAACCAGTGCAAAGTAGACTTAAATCACCATATCTTTAAACAGAGCTGTTTTTCTGGCCATCTGAATGTATTGGCTCTTTTAGCTGTGATTTTGTTCTCTCCCAACTCCTGAGGGGAGTATCTGGATTTATACATGGCATCGTGTTTGGTGAGCAGGCCATGCTTTAGAACTGGAAGCAGCTTCCTGTTGTAGCCAAAATCATCAACATGGTGAGTCAACCACAGTTGGGAACAGGTGACAATCACAATATGAAACTCTGGTAATCAGAGCAAAGCTGCAGAGTTAAGTGATAACTGTCACGGGGTGGGGATAATGTGGACCCAAAGAAAAACCTGTACTTCAGCTTTGAGGATGTCCACAAAGGCTGCAGAAGACAAAGTCCATGAATAGAAACAGGTGTTGAGTAAGAATAACAGGTGCTGAGACAGAAAGGCAAAGAGAAAACCGAGGCAGTAAATACACACACGTTTATTTGGGTAGTGGGGAACACATGCGTAAAAAAACCCAAACAGGTGCAACAAATCAATGGAAACAAGCTAAATGAAGTAAAAATAAACACAAAGCACAAGAGCCAACAGAGGGAAGCAGTTCAAATATGTTTCTGAAACGTGCACTGAAATGAACTTAACCTGTTTGAGCCTTTTGTACCACATATCTTTAAATTGTTATTAAAAAAAACATATTACATAACTCATAACAATACATGACATGTGAGTTAGGGTTTTTCTTTCTGCTTAACAAATAATAGATGGGTCCAAAAGCTTTTTATAGGGCACTCAGATGTCTGTGTGAGGTCAAGATACACACCTGTTTGGATAAATCTTTGACCTATGCATCTCAGACTAGTGGGTTGTCTGTAAAAGACTGAACAAAAAACCAACTGAACTCATTCAACAAACCAGCATCTAAAGCTCACTGACAACCACCCCCCTCTCAGTAAACATTGCTTCTATAAAAGTGAACTCTTTAGCCCATTTACACCAGGATTCAAACATGTGGTTAGAAGGGAAATTATGGCATCTGATTACATCTGTGTAAACTATCATAAGTATAAATTTTAAGGAACTATTACTGTTACGACACTGTTCATTCTTGTACAGTATGTATATTTATTTCTTTGGTTTTATTAAATATAAACATAGGTGGCATAGATAAATGACTCACAACATCTATTAGATTTTAGCGTGTTTTGTACTTCTGTGAAGATATATAACGTTTTAAAGTTCAGTGTATTAGATTTACAATGAAAACATGAGTGAAAACACAGGATGACAAAACAGCAAAAGAAAATAAGTAAAAACAGAATTCAGTGTCACCAACATCACAAGATATTAATCTCTATAGGAATAATAAAGAAAAAAAATCTTGATGAATAAAATCCAAACAGAGAGCCAAACTCGGCTATATTCACTGAGAATCCTAAACTCAGATAACCCTGGGACCATGACAAAACAATATGACATTACAAGTGACACTGATGTTCTTTGAATGAATCTTCTATCCATATGTAATGCACTTAAGGTTGTTTTTGTAAAAGTGAAGCTGCAGTTTGAATTCTTCATCATTTTCTCCCGGGTGTCTATATTTGTCGTATATAGAACTTTGGCTGTTGGCTGTTTTGGGTTGATGACCAATGGATACGTGACTACATGATGCAACCAGCAAAGAGCCCAGACCATCCATAAAAAACTCTAGAGTTAGAAATTGGAATTTAATATTTAACACAAAATGCTCTTGCTGTCATTTGTAATATAAACTTCTTTGAGATCTGGACCTACCTGAATGTGCTACTCGCTGTAGCTTAGGGTCAAAACCAACTTTCTGTACAGCATCTGTACGAGCCAGGAAGAAGTTGACTACTCCATTAGTCAAAAAGCATTGTGGGTAGCCAGGAAGTGAGTGGAATTTCCCCTGAGACTTTCTGTATAGGCAACCACCTTCATTTTCCTTTCCTTCCTCATATATAAGAGTAAAATAAAACTGGTTCTCTTCTACAGCCCCACCAACCTAATACGAATAAAGAAACACAACATCTTGTTACAAAATGGCTAGTGTTTCACTGCAAGCTCCAATATTGTTCAGTCGATGTTCAGGTAGACACTACTTGTCATGCTTGTTTTTGAAAATCAAATCTAGAAATGAGACTAGTCTTTCAGGTAACCTATGCATCTGTCCAGAAGCTGGTTCCACCAACTTTACTTTATTGTGCGTGGTCATAACTGCTCATCTGATCTTTGTTAATAATAGATGTTACAGTAAACCCAAAAATCTAGAATAACCTTTGTCTTCATTGATTATAAAGGATCTGCTCCATGCAAGTTATTGTGAAGTTAAGACCCCAAACGTTGGCATGCTACATGGTCCAAAAGGCCTAACTAGATCAGATGTAATAAAGGAAAAAAGGATTACATCAGTCTAACATGTGTATTTTATGGGTGTATTATATTTACATTTTAATGTTCTATTCAAATTATTTTAAATAAACTGCAAATGCTTTATGTGAGCTATTTCATTCTCACCACATCCAGTTCAGGGTTCGCCTCCATGACCTCCACAAGCTTCTCTATCTTTGTCTTCTCTGTAAACACAAAATCATCATCCACCCACAGGAAGTACTTGGTGGTTACCTGGGAAACAGCCAGATTTCTGCCTGCAAACCAGCCCTGAGGAAGGAAACATCTTTCACATCTTAATCTTAACATTTTAATCTTTTACACTGTGGTGTAATGGTGCTCTCAAGTGATCAATACAATAAAAGTCATTGTAAAGCAACACTGTTTTTTGTTTTATTAGCAAAAAACAAATTTCATCCATCCACCTTCTTCTGCTTATCCGGGGCTGTGTCACGAAAGAAGCAGCCCAAGCCTCCCTCTCCCCAGCCACCTCCTCCATGTGAAGGAGCCCTACTCTACTCTGAGCCCCTCCCGGATGGCTGAACTCCTTACTCTATCTCAGGGAGAGGCAAGCCACCCTTCGGAGGAAGCCTATTTCTCATTCTTTTACTCACTACCCACTGCTCGCGACCATAGGTGAGGGTAGGGATTTAGATCGACTGGTAAATTGAAAGCTTCGCTTCTACACTCAGCTCACCCTTCACCACAACAGACCAGTACAGCGTAAGCGGAGTGGCACTCCGCCCTTTTCCTGCTGAGGATCATGGTCTCAGATTTGGAGGTGCTCATTCCCACCGCTTCACTCTCGGCTGTGAACCGTTCCACCATAGGTCAGACTTATTTTAAATTCATACATACAAGAATCTGAATTATATCTGAGATTTATCTGGTTTTGTAGAAAATTCAAACTGACAGTTTGTACCAACATTGCATATTTAGTAAACACAACTGTGGTTCCAATTCTTGGATCTACCACACATACCTGTGCTGGAGGCATGATGTAATATAAGATGTTTTCTCTGTGAATTGGCTCTGGTTCTAAGCTGTCATCTGCAATAATCACTTTTATGTTGTTGTAGAATTTTCGGATGCTGTCCAACAACACCTTCAGTTCTCTGTAGCGCAGGAAAGTCTTTGTGGTGATGGTGACTTGAGAACTAATGTCTAAAAGGCAAAAGAAAGCAAATTATTTTCACTTTTCTTCAGTCAATAGAAAAATTAAACAGCAGAACAGAAAAAGGTCAGAAGAAAAGGATACACACTGATCTTTCCTCTTCTCTCTGTAAGATTTCAGTCATAAGTTTTACCTGCCTACACACCTAGAGCAGGCTGTATCTGGTACTGTGGGATTATAATATTATTTTATGCCATGTTAGACCCCTAATTAAAGATTGTGAATTATTATGTAGTTTTAGTTTGCATTATTCTCCTGAATTAGAAGAAGGTGATAACTATTGCATTTGTTAAACTGATTTGCATTACATTAGACTGCTGATTTATTGTGAATGAATGATATTGTTTTATGATGCATTATACTGCTGAGTTATAAGAAATACTGTTCGCAGAAAGTCATCGCCTTATTTGTCTGATTAGAAGAGAACAGAACATGCTGGAGTTTTCTGCCCCATCTCAGCAGGAGCAGATAAACAGGGAGCCAAGGTCGTAGCTTAGGCGCTGTGTGAGAGAAGGCATGTGAATGTTTAGGCTTTTATGATTAGGTGGGGGCCACTAGAGGCTATAAGAGTTTGATCAATGCTCCACTATTTTGAGATCTGATGCTGTCTGCATACGGTGTCCATCTCCCACGCGTGTGATCATTAAAATCATCGTTTGACTCAACCCGGCCGGACCAGTGTTGTTATTGTGGTTTTTCCTCTTGTATCCATCCCCAATATTTGAATCCGTAACAGTTTGGGGGCTCGTCCGGTGGTATTGGGGTGGAAGTTGGAGGTTTGGACGGTCCGAGGTTGTCGAACGGACAGACACAAGCCAGTGGTCTGACGTGAGTGGGCAAAAGCCGGCTTATACAAAGGTAAGGCACTACCTGTTGAATCTATTTCCAAAGTGTGCCAAATTGGACATGATAAAATTAAAGTCTACTCACTGAAATTACTGGAAAGTGACAGTACTGAGTATTTAAAGCAGTTGGACTGCTGATTGAAGTTAAAGCAGTTGGACTGCTGAGTGAATTTAGTTTGATAGGGAATTGGTCATTTTGTGGGTTAGAGTCCCTGTTGGTTTTAAGGTTGGACCTGCGTCAGTCATAGTCTTGTTTTGGGGTGTTGACTGTTGTTTCAAAGTATTATACATTTTTCAAGAACGGCAGTTGGACTGCTGAGAAGCGCATAGCCCGGAGGTTACGCTCCCTCCTGGCCGAGGAACGCGCGACCTTGACCTGTCGGCGAACAGGGTTAGTTCAGTTTGGCTTGACTGTGGGGTACAGGGCATCCTGGAATAAGCTAGGAGTTAGAGTCTCTTTACCGTTTGGTATGAGTATGTGCGCTTTTTTGGGCAGCAAAGGTTGGATCTTGGGTGCTGGACACTTTTAAATTGAGTAAGGGACTTTAGAGACAAGGCCAGAGACTGTTGGACAGATACTGGTTAATTGATCACAAAAAAGTTGGACTTTTTCGGTTGGACCGTTAACTTAAATTTGTCGAAATTGTGTAGGCGCTAAAGCTGTCAGGCCTGAGAGTGATTGTAAATATAAGACGTCTTTGTAATATAAAATAACAGAGCTGTGTGTGAGACTGTGTGTGAGACTGTGTGTGACGTGCAGCTGCAGCGCTGCGAGCTATTTTTAGACGGTGTGTGAACATGCAAATGAGGTGGCTGCTGTGAAGCGCACAGAGGACTTTTGCTTCCTGTTTAGCGTGTTTTTGAGTTTTATAATTATGATTTGCAAACAATGATACATGCCTGTAATTAAAACGCTGATTTTGCTGATTATAAGATTACAAATACAGTTTTGAATGACTACGCTGAATGTTTGATGTTTGGCTGGGTTTTGATATAGAAGAGACAAATCGTGCATGATCTAGACCGGCACTTCAGTCGGCAGAGTAAGATTGAGTGATAAATACAGCTGTGATTTGTTTCAGTTTTGTGGTGTGAAGCAGGATTTATAAGATTTTTAAGTGACTCTTGGTTCAGCTCAATAATATAAGCAGTTACATTTGATTTACTTTTAGTTTTATCATAATATAGGGTGTGATCAAGCACGAATTTCAGCACTGGTGGTGGTGTAGTAATTTCATTTTACTTAGATAAAAGGCATGCTTATTTCAGGGTCGTGCTGAATTGAAATTTCACCTATAGAGGATCTTCTTTACATGAATTGCATTGGTCACAGTGAGTACGAATAGATGAGTAAATACAACGAATTTTCTTGAGGGTGTGTTTCTAGGGATAATTATGACTGGTTTTATACATTCATATTGAGGACGGAGGATTGTGGCTGAGAGTGTGGAGAGAGGACATGAAGACGGCTTTGCAGCTGCTGGGTGGAGTAGCTGTGTGTGTCATATGAAGCAGTGTGTGTGACAGGAACTTTGCATGCCCATAAAAGGCAACTGCCTGACTGTGTGAAGTATGCACCAAGAGAGAGAGATAGTAAAATCTAGGCAGATGAAGCGAATGGATGTTTTCAGAAAAGAAATACTAAGTGAATGTTTTAGTGTGTTAATACAGGTGGATTTCTCTCAACCTGGAAACGATGGCGGTGCGTGCACACGCAGCGGCTTCTCTCTCTCCCAAACAAACTACTTTTTCGTGTTTTTCGTCCTGTAAGTTGCAGTGTTTTTGTAAGTCATTGTCACGTCTATCTGTGTGCAAGCAAGGATATGCCCGAACACTTCTTCTCGACATCGGCAGAAACAAACTTTTTAAGTTAAACTCTGTGGACATCGAGAAGCTGAAAGATCTGGGTCTGCTCCGAAGGCCTACTCAATCACCGACCTCCACTCCTGCACTTCGCCCACAATGGATGCGCCTCAAGCGGTGTGAGAGGAAGCAGAAGAGGGGTAAGCGCGGTGGCATCCGAGCTAGGCTAGCGGCTAGCCCACACAAACTCGCCATCCCCTCTATCGTTCTGGCCAACGTACGCTCGCTAGAAAATAAACTGGACGACATCCGACTGCTACGTTCATCTCAAAGGAATGTAAAGGACTGCTGTGCTTTTGTGTTCACGGAAACATGGCTCAGCGACAGTGTCCCGGACCGCGCCATTCAGCTCGACCAGCTAACATGCTACCGTGCTGACAGAGTCATCGTCGCGGGAGGTAAGACCCGCGGGGGAGGACTTTGTGTTTGCATCAATGATGCCTGGTGCCGCGATGCTGTTGCGGTCTGCAAACACTGCTCACCAGTGCTGGAGTTCATGGTTATTAAGTGCCGGCCATTCTATCTACCGAGGGAATATACAGCTATACTACTGTGCGCTGTGTATATCCCTCCCTCCTCCAATGTCAACAACAGGAGTGAGGCACTGAATGAACTGTACCAGCACATCAGTGAGCAGCAGACAGCCCATCCTGATGCTTTTCTCATCCTGGCTGGGGATTTCAATCATGCAGACTTAAAGTGCGTGTTTCCAAAAATACAACAACACATAGACTTTCCAACAAGGGGAAATAACACACTGGACTTTGTTTACACCACCCAGAGAGGAGCTTACAAAGCTTTTCCCCTCCCCCACCTCGGCGCCTCAGACCATATCACTGTCATGCTAATGCCTGCTTACAGACCGCTCGTTAAAGTCACCAAACCGGTTCGTAAGCGGATACAAGTGTGGCCAGAAGGGTCTTCAGAGGCTTTACAGGACTGCTTCAACACCACAGACTGGAACATGTTTAAGCAGGCTGCCACCTATAACAACACCACTGACCTCCAGGAGTACGCAGAGACTGTTACTGCCTACATCAACAAGTGTATTGAGGATGTAACAGTCACGAAAACCATAACTGTCCGGGCCAATCAAAAACCATGGATGACAGGAGAGGTCTACAGGCTGCTGAAAGCTCGGAATGTTGCCTTCAGAGATGGAGACGAGGCGAGCCTGAGGACAGCTAGGGCCAACCTTTCCCGTGGCATCAGAGAGGCTAAGAGACAGTACTCCAGGAAAATATCTCATCACTTCAAAGACAGCAGAGACTCACGGAGCCTGTGGCGGGGCATTCAGACCATCACAGACTACAAGCCCCCACCACAGACCTGTGATAGCACTATCCCCCTGCTGAACGAGCTGAACACTTTCTTTGCTCGCTTTGAAGTCCAAAACAGCACCACTGCACAGAAGACCCCACCCCCTCCTGGTGACCAGGTGATGACTCTGTCCCCGGACAGCGTGAGGAGATCCCTCAGCAGGATCAATGCACGTAAAGCTCCGGGTCCTGACAACATTCCTGGTCGTGTACTGAGAGACTGTGCAGTGGAACTCACTGATGTCTTCACAGACATCTTCAACATATCACTCATCCAGGCTGTCGTCCCCACATGTTTTAAAGCCACCACAATCATTCCGGTTCCAAAAAAGTCATCTCCCTCCTGCTTTAATGACTACCGTCCTGTTGCACTTACTCCCATCCTGATGAAGTGCTTCGAACGACTAGTCATGCAACACATCAAGACTGTCCTGCCCCCCTCCCTGGATCCCTTCCAGTTTGCGTATCGGCCCAACCGTTCAACCGATGATGCTATTTCCACTGCACTCCACTCAGCACTCACACACCTGGACAAAAAAGACTCATATGTTCGAATGCTGTTCATAGATTTCAGTTCAGCATTCAACACTATAATCCCCCAACAGCTCACTCAAAAACTGGTCCAGCTGGGGCTCAACACCTCACTGTGCAACTGGCTGTTGGATTTCCCCACCGGAAGACCTCAAGCAGTACGGGTCGGCAGTAATACATCCAGCACCATCATTTTAAACACGGGGGCCCCGCAGGGATGCGTGCTGAGCCCCCTCCTCTTCACTCTGCTGACCCATGACTGCACTCCATCATACAGCTCCAACCTCTTCATCAAGTTTGCGGACGACACAACGGTTGTGGGTCTCATTAGCAACAGGGATGAGACCGACTACAGAAGTGAGGTGAGACGCCTGGCCACGTGGTGTGCTGACAACAATCTCTCTCTGAATGTGGAGAAGACGAAGGAGATTG